GGCCTCAAAACCCGGATTGTGTTCAGAGAGTGGAACATCACTGTCACGGGTCACATCAGAAGTGGGCCATCTAGTTTCCAAGGTCGCCTTCACTTAGGACGTTCTCGTTAAGGACGTCCTTAGTTAGTTCGTTCCTCGGTAGGGACGTCCTTTGTTCTTAAGGCCGTGCTCACGTAACACGAAGGCGTAATTAGCCAATTTTAGCCACTACAGATAGTCCCTCCGTTTATTGGAGGCGGAATTGAGAGAAGTCTTCGATAAACGGACATCTATATGCCATTTTTTTTATATTAGGCCGTTCTAGTAAATGTCACCCATAAAAAGGCGTGCACGCATGTGGAGATACTGCGTCGTCGATAGGTCGTCCCCCTTTCATTTTTCCCTTATGGATGACGTGCTGACTGGAGCCAGAGAGTAGTTTTAAAAGTCAGAGGACCGCAAGTGCGGAATTAGCTGAAGCAGAGAGTAGCTTTAAAAGTTAGGAGATGGACATTTTCTCCCATTTTTCATTTGGTGTGGGCGATTTTGGAGAGCTTCAAGAGGGGTTTTCCGTCCTCAACGTCAAGGTAAGTTATCCCCACTTATGTTGAGTTAAATACATCAATTATGTATAGATTTTAGCATGCAAATGGGTAGAAATTTGAGGGTTAGAGGAAGACCTAGAAATTAGTATTATTGGAATTTAACCATGATCTTGGATATGGAATTAAGAGAAAATCATATATTTGAGTTCGTGAGTTCATTAGTAAATTTTATCTTCGAGAAATTTTGGATTTCGGGCACGTGAGCCCGAGGAAATTTTTGTCAACTTTTCGTTCGGGGTTAGGAATTGTAATAAATTGGGTTGTAAAGTATAATTGAGCATATATTAATAGATTTGTATAATTGTTGGCTAGTTTTGGAGCATTGTCTGTTGGTTCAAGTCTTCGGAAGAATGTAGAATGCCGGTTATGGATCTTCAAAGCGAGGTGAGTCTCCTTTCTAACGTTGTAAGAGGGAATTGCTCCCGTAGGTGAGTTAATTGATTATGTGCTCCTATTTGTGGGGGCTACGTACGCACGATGTGATTAGAGTCCGTGTGTAGCTACTATTATGCTATTGTCCGGGTAGTTTAGGACCCAAGAGCATGTTGTACTTGAACTATTTGTGAACTTATTGACTACTTGCATTGCTTAAATCACCTCGAATTACCAAATAAATTTTTAAATGATTTAGACTCCATTTTCTTAAGTATTAAAGAGAATTGGCCTTTATTTGGATATTTGCTCCATGTTGACTTCTTGATTGACTGTCTGCCTGTGTGTGTTGTTTTTGGAACGGGCCGAATGCCTCGGCAGATTAAATAGATGCATCTATGGTACGGGCCGTTCGACCCTCGGCAGTGGACAATTTATATTTCTGTTGTAGCGGTCCGTCGACCTCGGCATGATTTGTGCTTGCTTATATTGCTCGCCTGAAATATTTAAATTTGATATTGCCTTTTTGGCCTGATATAAATTGCTAAGAATAAATGACAAGTAAATCATGAAAATCCCTTATTACTTGTAAAAGGTACTTACCGTTTACCCGCTTTGGGGTGTTAAATTGCTATGTAAATCCTTGATTTTCTCACATTTTAGTATATTATTGTTTGACCACTAGCAAGTGTTAAAGTCGACCTCTCGTTTCTACTTCTTCAAGATTAGACGGGATATTTGATGAGTACACATTATTTTCGTACTCATATTACACTTGCTGTGCATTTTTATTGCACATTTTGATTGTGTGGCTGGTGGCTAGTGGCATAGCAACATGATTGACGCAGAGACTAGGTGAGTTGCATTTCCTCGAGGCGATTCTGCAGCTAGTGCAGTCTCTCTCTCTGGATCTTATTTATTTTTCTGTCCAATTGTATTCCGGACAGATATTGTACTTATTTGGATTCTCATAGAAATTGTTCATGTACTTGTGACACCGGGTTCTGGGATGGTTTTAAAATACTTTGTATTAATAGTTTATTATTTAATTAAAATTGAAGCGGTTATCCCTTTTATATATAAATATTGAAGGAAAATCTAGCTTTTCAAAAAAATTTAAAATAAGAATTTAATTAAGTATTTCAGTTGGCCTTCCTGACAGCGGTGTCCAGCACCACCACGACCATTTGTAGGTTTTGGGTCGTGACATGAAGAAAGAGAAAGAAAAACGAAAAAGAAAAGCAAAATGAATAAGAAAAGAGAAAAAAATAGTATTAAGTTAATTAGTTACAATATCCAATAGGAAAGTGACATCTGGACTATTAAATTAGTTTTAAGTTATTTTTTTTGCCTTCATACGCGTCTATAAAATAAACTACACGTCTTACGCCAGGTCATCACTCAGGAGGGTATTAAATTCACTTAAGTTTAGAATAGTGGGTAAAAGGTCGCCCGTAAAGTTTAGGTGTGTAAATAATTTTTTCGGACAAGTTTAATGGGCACTTTATGCATTTTCTCAACAACAAATCATATAAAGACACATAAAAATTATAAAGTTTGATGAAGAAAGATGAAACTCTACCTCCACGGGAGCTCTGGGCTTTCCCTAGGTCAAAAGCCTGTCAAAAGTTACAAAAATAATATTTTTACATGTATTTATATCAAAGTAGGGTTGGGCCTAGACGAAAACACCTTCTCCCGCGCGAAATAGGACTCTGGCTCTGTAAAATTTGCGCAGGCGCGCCATGCGGTGTGCTTGTGGGAACTTAGAGAGCATGCAATTTGAGGGAAGCAACAATTTACACAGCCGTGACGCTTTATGTGGCGCCTAACGCGACGCCGCTGTGAAAATTTGAAAAAATGTAAAACATTACTGTTGTAGCCATTTTAAATAGCTTTCCAATGATATACTGTGGAACCCAAACGGATTTCTGAGCGAAAATTTATGTGTATTTTACTAGACAATACTCAATATGCCTGCTCGATTCTTCGTTTCATTCTTAAAGTGCACTATCATCCGTTGATACCCGAATACGATCCCAAGTTAATTCTTGGGTTTTACTTAGACTTCAAAGCTCCATAATAGCTTGAATTCATTCCATAACATTCACGTTGATTGGAATTACACAAGGCATAAAACACACATTTTAGTGCAAAACACTAGTGATTAAAGCTAAAGCTCAATTAAAGTACAGTAAATTAAAATGTAATAAGTGACTAAAATATATAATTATAGTCTATCATCATATGCTAATTCTGTAAATAATATTTATACAATTAGAAAGAAAGAAGGTACTACGGAATATTGCCTCTCTTCCGAGGTAGATAATTTCCTATTGGATGTAAATATGGTGGAATTATTAATACAAAAAGAAGACTAATTATGAGATGGACTGATATAAAAGAAGATTAATTATGAGAGGGACTAATATAAAAAAGAATACTAATACAAAAAAAAAGACTAATTATGAGAGGGACTAATATAAAAAGAAGACTAATTATAAGGGTCAATTATGAGAGGGACTAATATAAAAAGAAGACTAATTATAAGGGTCAATTTATATATATATATATATATATATATATATATGGAGATCTATTCATTACTCCATCCTTCGCTTGCGCATGAGGATGACATATTTTATTACATAATTGTCTTATAAATTATGCACCAGTATCTCTTAAATATATTATAACAATACATTTAATAAAATAAAATCACATAGCATAATAATACATTAGTTGTTATTGATTGTTGGGAACGAAACAATACCTATTGTCAACCCTTAGATTAACAAAACCAAGTGGCAATAGAGTATTTGCTAGCATTGTTTTTTTTTTTTTTGCCATATAAAAAAGAAGATGTTGTTTTCATTACTGCTATTAATGAAATAAATACTAGGAGTCAACCCTTAGAGTTAGATAATTAACAAAACAAAGTGGCAATTAATGTGAAAGAATATGCAGAGAACACCTTCCGCACGTTGGACTAAATATATTCTCTTTTTTCCTTTATTAATCAATTAATTTATTTTCTTTGAGAAGATTGAAGAGAGATCAAACTCAACAAGCTAAGGAGTAGACCTGGAGTTAAGTTTATGGCTAGACGAATTAAATTGTGAGACAAGCACGAGCATTACCATAGAACTTATAATAAAATTAAATTATAATTTTATATAATAATAAAATATATGAAAATTAATTAATAAAAATTATACACCAAAATTAATATTATAAAGATATTACATAAAAAGTATAAGTAATTACAAAATTTGTAATATATTAAATTAAAAGTGTTATATAATAAAAATATTGATGAATAGTAAATGTGTTAATGAACAGTGTTATACCAAATTTGGTATAACATTATTGACACACCAAAATGGTATTGGATTGGAGCACCAAAATATCAAATTTTACACCAAAATAGAGTTTGATGTCAAAAATAGCGTTGGGTTGGAGATGGTCTTAAAAGTAAAAAAAATATGAGCTTCCACCCAAAATCTTTTAAGGCATGTGAAATGACCGAAGAATTATGAACTCCTTTGAAAACACTTGCACAATCTACGAAGTAAAGTGTATTTCTCTAACAATTAATAAAGTATTTGAAGGGAGCCTTCATGTAATCGGTAAAATTATTGTCGTGTGATCAGAATGTCACGAGTTTGAGCCATGAAAACAGACTCTTACAGAAATATTAGGTAAGATATATAATAGACCTTTGTGGTCCGATCCTTTTCCGGACTCCGCGCATAACGGAAACTTTGTGCATCGAGCTATTTTTTAATAAAGTATTTGAAAAGCATCACTATATGTAAAAATAATGTGTTGCTTGCGTCGTTGAGAGTGAAACTATAACCAATTGTCAACACATGGAACAAAACCAATTGTCAACACTTGCTACAAATCCAAGTGGGAATATAGTATTTGTAAAATATCACTATAAAAGAAGATGTTACTTGATATTTAATCTTGTACATATAGTACTTTTGAGAAATACTAAATCTCATACCTCTAGTACTCTTGAAAAATTCTTAACATATAATGCATCATCATCTCCTTCTTCTTCTTCATTCTCCCATAGAAGCCATAATAGCAGGACTTGTAACCCTTGCATTTGTATTCTATTTCCTATGGAACTTTAGAAAATCCTCAAAAACCCTACCCCCAGAGATCCCAGGAGGGTGGCCAGTGATCGGCCATCTTTTTTATTTCAAAAATGATGGCGATCACGACCGTACTTTAGCTCAAAAACTCGGAGATTTAGCTGATAAACATGGTCCAATCTTGACTTACAAGCTAGGGTTTCGCCGTTTTTTGGTGGTGAGTAGTTATGACGCTATTAAAGAATGCTTCACAACTAACGATATTCGTTTCTCCAATCGCCCCGCCTTGCTATACGGTGATCACCTTTGCTATAACAATGCCATGCTTTTTATTGCCAAATATGGACCTTATTGGAGAAAAATTCGAAAGCTAGTCAATCAAGAAGTTCTCTCAGTCAATCGCCTCGAAAAATTCAAACATATTAGGGTTTCTATAGTTCAAGAAAATGTTAAAGAACTATATGATCGTTGTGATTCAACGATAAATCTTACTGATTGGATAGATAAATTGTCGTTCGATATAATTTTGAAAATGATTGCTGGGAAGAGTTATAATAATGGACATGGAGAAATACTCAAAATAGCTTTTCAAAAATTTATGGTTATTGCCATGGAATTTGAGCTATATGATATTTTTCCTATTCAATTGTTTAAATGGGTGGATTTTAGTGGGAATATTAAGGTTGTGAAGGAAACTTTCAAGGAAATTGACACTGTTTTTCAAGGTTGGTTAGATGAACATATTAAGAAGAGAGAATTGAATGAGGTTTTGGATGAAAATGAAGAAGATTTCATTGATTCTATGCTTTCAAAAACAAGCAATGAACATCTTGGTGATACTCACTCTCCTAACATCACCATCAAAGCAACAATATTTGTAAGTTCCTATTCCATGTTATCTCAAAGTGTAGGTAAAATCAAAAATAAAAAAATAAAAAAAAATAATGAAGCTAAGCTATTAATCTTACTTTTTAGAGTTTAAATTCTACTTACTGGTCATATACAAAATATTTATATAAAGCATTCATTGGTAACCTACAGTAAATGATAAGTTGCTTGCTATGGTATGGTATTCCAACTTTAAATGATCTAATGTACAGATATGAGGGCATATTAGTCTTATTCTTTTAATGATAATAAGTATTCAAACGATGATCGATTATATATCACTGTTAAACTTCTTTATAACATTCTCATTTGTTTTGGATATCTTTTTGGCTATTATATATAGTGAAATTTTATTACGTTGAGTATATATTACTAACGTAGCATGAAAATTGTTTCCATAAAAAACATGGCTTAATTTGGAACCTTCAGTTCCAACCAATAGGTTATGAGTTCGAGTCTCCCCAAGAACAAAGGTGGAAAGTTCTTAGAGGGAAGTATGTCAATGGTCTATTTGGAAACAGCCTCTCTGCCTCAGGGTAGGGGTAAGGTCTGCGTACACACTACCCTCCCCAGACCCCACTAAGTGGATTTTATTGGGTTGTTGTTGTTGTTATAAAAAACATGGCTTATTTTATAGTGAATGATTGTTATATAGCAATACTGTTATAGAGAAGTCTGACGGTATAAATGAGACATGGTTGATTGGGCGGAGTTTATCAAATATATAAAGTCTTTTTGACCTATAACTAACAATAGTACTCCTATCTAACATTCATATAAGGTGTAATAGAAATGTTTAAATTAAAGGATCTATAGATATAAACAAGTTTTTAAAAACTTTTTTCTTAATAAATTAAAAAAAAAAAATTTATATGATTTTTAATATGTTTTTTTTAAAACTGTTTAAGCTATTTACACCATAAAAAAGATCTAACCATAAAGTCGCTTAAAAAATATCTACAAGTAAACTTTCATAAAATATGGAATTTGTAATCTTGAAAATAAGTTATATTAATTACTTCCTATAATAAATATAGATGAGCTGATAGTGCAAATATAAACTTAAATTCAAATCATGAATTTTATTTTTGAATTTCTTCTTCGTATTCTTTTTAAATGTTTTCTAATTTGTCCATATATATAGTCATTGGTCTTGGACGCAACAGAGACACTTGCTCTTCACATAAAGTGGGTAATGGCGTTATTGATAAACAATAAACTTGAGATGAAGAAAGCACAAGAAGAGATTGACACAATTGTTGGTAAAGATAGATGGGCAGAAGAGAGTGATATTAAGAATTTGGTGTACCTCCAAGCAATTGTTAAGGAAGCATTGCGATTATATCCACCTGCACCTTTATCAGTACCACACGAATCCGTGGAAGATTGCGTTGTCAACGGGTACAATTAGAGTTTTGTCCTAATTTTCTTATCATATTATAATTGTTCAAGTTATACTTTTAGTCGTTTCAGTACGTATGACATCTGATAATTTTGATTACGGCAGGTACCACATTCCTAAGGGCACTGTACTACTTCCAAATGTTATGAAACTACAACGAGATCCGAAAATATGGTCAAATCCTGATAAATTTAATCCAGAAAGATTTTTGACGACTCATGCTAAAATTGACTATCGTGGGCAACACTACGAGTTTATCCCTTTTGGGACGGGGAGACGAGCTTGTCCTGCAATGACGTATGCATTGCAAGTGGAGTACCTTTCAATTGCTCATTTGATTCAGGGTTTCAATTTTTACACTCCCTCAAACGAGTCTTTGGATATGAAAGAAGGTGTAGGCATAACTGCACCTAAGAAGAATCCTATTGAAGTGTTAATTACACCTCGCCTATCTACTACGCTTTACCAATATTAAGATGTTTTGTTGTCACGGTTCATTGAGATTCAAATCGTTTGTCGTTCTGATCTACCCTCAATGTTAAAAAAAATTAAGATGTTTTATTTTGGTTAAGATTGTTTCACAGATGGTTATGCCTCTACTTTTCTTATATTGTACTCCATGAATAATAAGAAGTTCTCCAATAAACGTTTCTAGGGCAGAAGTCTAAGAATGAGCTCGGACCTCTATGGCCTACCCTCTCTATGAAGTTCTTGTTCAACGCTAATTTCAATTCTTTTCCTTTTTTAATATTTTTATTTATTTATTCAAGCCGCCTTTAATTTTTCAATTTCAAAGTAAAGCTTATCATGACCTTTTACTCTACCATTTTTACGATTGTGAAAACTTAGACATACACGTAAGAGTTTTAACTCATATGCACTAAGAATATAATAAATAAATTTTACAATATTTATCAGTGTGTAGAATATGTTGTAGCATGTATTTATCGCCCAATTTCTAGTTTACCGATATCCCCTTTCTATTTTATGGACGTTTATCAGTAGTTATCTTATAGGAGTATATGATGATCCAAGCAAAGGAACTAAAAAGAGGGTGTACTTAATTAAATTTGTATGGTTTAGAAACGGATTACGTCCGTCGCTAAACACTATTTTTTTATAGTGGTTTCAATTACTCATATATCTTTGATTTTGTATAAATTCGGATGTAAAGGACAAGAAAATCAACCCAATATAAACAGGTAACTAAACAAACGAAATTAAATCACATTCACAACAGTNCCACCCCCACGCCACCCCACCACACACAAAAAAAAATGAGGGGGAGAGCCAAATAAGTCAGAAGGTTAGAAGAGGGTGTACTTAATTAAGTTTGTATGGTTTAGGGACAGAATACGTTCGTCGCTAAATATTGTTTTTTTCAATTACTCATATATCTTTGATTTTGTATAAATTCGAATGTAAAGGACAAGAAAATCAACCCAATGTAAACAGGTAACTAAACAAACGAAATTAAGTCACATTCACAACAGTAGAAAATATCAAATTTACAATATCACTGCAAACTTGAGTTCTCAATCACAATGCCATTAGGGATCTAACCCTAATTAAGGCAAAAGTAGTGGAAGAAACATACATTAAAACCCCCATATATGCATCCATATTATTCATACATAAACTTTCATATTTATTTTATTTTATTTATTTCCTATATACTATATAACATTAACTACATGGATGCTTCTTCTTTTATTCCAACATAGTCTTGAAAACTTTAAGGCTGGACTTCATTTTTGTTCGACTCAAAAGTTATCGAATACTTTCTGAGTAAATCAAGGGTAAATTATAGCCAATCATAATTAAGCACTGGCTTAGAAGACAAAATCGAAACATAGAAATATAGAATTGAAGAATAAGATATTTAGGACTTTATTGATCATAGAAACTTGGCCTGCCACTCCTTGAAGAGGTTCAGGGGATTACAATCATGTTGTTCACGGCTCTATTCATGGAGCATATGTATTCCCTTCTGTGGGTCTGGAATAGTGGAGGAGAAGAAGCCCCTCTTTCAAGGTTCTATTTGTTGATATTTATAGTTACAAGCTCAACGAGCTTGTCATGGGTCGTCGTAGCTAAGTCGAGGGCACGTTCTTTTGTCGCGGAGGGACCGTAGCCCAAACAGTTGTAAGGAGTCAGAGTCAAATTCGTTGACCATTTGTTACGAATTAATTAGGACGGGGTTGGTACCGTAGTGATCGTATGATCGTATTTTTACCCATAAAGTTAGTCCCTCCGTTAGTCGGGATCGCGCCTTGCCGAACTCGATGGACTGATTGTGTGTGACGTAATCAGAAGGAGTTAGGTTCGCTTTTGTTTATTAGTGGCGTTAGGAGTTCCGAAACTATCCGGGGGCGCCTTTTCGGTGTTCGTGTATCGTCACGACAGTTTCGAAACTAAAACGTCGGTTAGCAAGCGAAGCGCCGCTTCGTGCAGACAATCATAATGGCACACGTTTTCGGAAAATCGAACCGTTTCGTGCCCGGTCAGGTATTAATGGTGGCTATTGGGTTTCGTGATTGGAGAATGTGTTTCTTAGAAAGGATCTGTCATTCGCTTTTCACACATTCATCGCTCATTGTGGAGAGAAATCCTGGGATACCTTCCTTTCTGCTAAATCGCATTTTTCTCTACTCTCTTGATCGCTATAATTTTCGATTTTCTTGCTTCTACCACAAAGTTCTTCTTTCTTTCGTTTGTGAGTCAAAAATGGCAGGAACTTTTTCTCGTAACAATCTTCCGGCCATTCCTCCGGTGGTCGAGGATCCCGCTCCGGCAGCCGAAGACTTAAAGCTGATGGAATGCGAAGAAGTTCCTTCAGTGGAAGAAATTATGTCCCGTCCAGGGAAGGTAGTGGACTTTAGCACAGAGGGTGGTGTAGAGCAGGTGAATATCCCTCCTCTAATGGGGAAAGTTGGGATAGCGGGCTTGCGAGAGCGGTGGGGTATTCCTAGTTACGTCGAGATCGCACTTGCGAAGATGCAGGATAGGGTCCAGATCGACCGTCGAGGGTTTTGTCCGTTCTATACTTATCCCTTCCTTGTGGGGTACACACTCATTCTCCATATGCTGGTGGTTGACTTCTGCCGCTATTATAAGGTGTGTCTAGCCCAACTTTCCGCTTATGTATACAAGTTGTTCCTTATGTTTATCAAGTACACGGAGTTAGCCGGTAGGGAGGTCACTCTGAGGCACGTACTTAGCATCTTTTCTCCTCAGAAGATTAGCAGCATCATGATTCATGTATGCCCCCATGGGTCGAGAGGCTTGGTGGTCAAGATGGACGACCAGTCGCTTCTTTGATAATTTTTTCTATGTTTGGACTGAATATATTGTGGTAGACCCGACCGGATTCCCGTAAGTTCAGAACTTCGCACGTAAGTTCTCTCCCTTGGCTAGGAAAATGCTCTGATTTGACCTTCTTTGAGCCTTGTGTTTGTAGTCGTTGATTTATTCTAATATTTTGTAGCTAAAAAGCTGTCTCTGGCTCCTTTGGAAGTGATCCAAGAATGGGTCGAGGTCGTGCTTCCCCATACTGTGGGGATTCGCACATGGTCAACGTTTTGGGAGAAACATGGACGTAGGCCCCCGACAGATGAAACAATGGCCTTATTTCCTTTCTGTTTTGTTTTTTGTTTTAACTTTATTCATCGAACGTTTGCTTGTTGTGGCTTGGGAGAGCTCGCTGCGTCAGGTCTCCTCAATTAGCTTTCCGTCGATCAGCCGTGTCCGCTCGACTTACTGTAGCACCTGCATCTCATCCTTCATCGAGGGCAGCTTCGGTAGAATCGTTAGTGGTAATATCTACGACACAGACTACTTCTTCGGACGAAGAGCCATATGGGGCCGTCCAGCTCCGACTCACTCGCTATCAACTGGGGAGGAAGAAGGGCTATCTAAGAGGCGGAGGGTAGCATTAGTTGCGGCTCTTCCGACGGTGATAAACTTGGATTCTCCACCGGCGGATTCAGGTGGAGGTGTTGTTGTGACGTCTACCGTTGAGGGGGAGAAATTGGTCAGATTTGCCCTTGCTAGTTAAGGCCAGGAGAATGCTACTGTTTTGGCGACCCGGTCGGAAGTTCCCGCTACTGAGGGCGGAGGGTCGATCTTTAGAGGCTGTTGTCGTAACCTCGTGCACACCCTCGTAGCCCTCGGCGGGTTGCTCTGTACCATCAGCGGCAGATATGGGAAAGAATGTGGTGGTGGACGAATACGAGTCTGAGTCTGATTTGGACCCTGATGATGTCCGCATGTTTAAGGAGGGAATTAACCTCTTTGTGGTTCGTGTAGAAGGGTCAACCTATTATATTGAGATTTCTTCAGATTTGAACCTGCTGACCCAAGGAAGCAGGTTGGTGTCGCAATTTGAGTTACTATGTTCGGAGGTCGAGAACGGGTCCCTGAGGAGTGATCGGGTCGAACTCAATTCGAAGATAGAGTGGGCGCGACAACTAATAACCCAATAGTATATCGGGGTCAAATTCCTCAAAGAGCTTCAAAATTGGAGTTGAGTAATTATAGGCTTAGAAAAGCGTTCTAACTTTAAATTGATCTTCTTTCATTTTTGGGTTTTCAATTATAATTATCAACTACAGTTAACAACTAATATTATGATCTATAATTAAGCTAAGATGATTGATGATAAAATTAAACTATAAGAGAGAAGCACAAGGGTCGTGACACTCACCTAGGCGGATAATCAATGAGTACAAAATTCTAACAGAAGGATACTAAATATGGGAAATATGGATAACCATTGCACTTTTATCACTTGCTCTCACACCTCTCGGTAGAGAGAATGATTTTGCTCAATTGACTCTCTCGAGACCAATTGGGTAAGCCAATTTGCCCAAGCAACATAAGGTTCAAGTAGGGTAATTACTCTCTCGAGGATTAACCCATTACTTGGGACTACCATTCTCATGGGTCCATCCCAAATCCTTGTTGGGTTGAGTGTGAGGTAATAGACTCTCTTTCTCAAGAAGAGTCAAGACCCACTAAGCTTGACTTAGTGTTTGCAACCACCAAATCATAGTGAAAACATATACACAACCCAAATACCAAACACCCAATCAACATCCAAGTATTAAGCAAAAACACTCATTAATTACCCACACTAGGGTTGAGTCACAACCCTAGCTAATGGGTTTAGTTAGACATGGAAGAAATAAAAAAAGCAAAAATAATGGAAAAGATGAACATATTCATTAACTAATTGCTAAATCTACTCAAATCCACTTTAGTTACAAGAGAAGTTGCCTAAAATAGGCTAAAATAAGAGCTCACGAGCACAACTGCTTTTTCAGAATGTAAAACTTAACCTAAAAAAGTAAAGTATTATATTTATACTACTTAGAAAAAACTGGACAAAAATACCCCTAAGGGTCTGGTGCGGATCGCACAGAAATGGCGTGCGGCCGCATAGGGCCAAATGTCTTCACTTTAGTTGCCTTTGGATAACGGGTGCGGACCGTACAGAAATGCATTGCGGTCGCGTAGGTCTTGTCAAGCGGACTGCACAGACAAGCATTGCGGCCGTATAGGGTAGATCAGGCAGAACACACCAAAGTGACGTGTGGCCGCACAAGAAGA